GGAAGTTCTCCCGCACCCAGCGTATTCACCAGACTTAGCTCCTTCGGACTATTACTTGTTCCGGTCGATGCAGCACGGCTTGGTGGATACACACTTCAGAAATTACGAGGATGTGCGAAAATGGATCGACGAATGGATTGCATCAAAAGACCAATCGTTCTATCGTCGCGGAATCTACGCGTTGCCCGAAAGATGGGAAAAATGTATAGCTAGCGAGGGAAAATACTTCGATTAATGTATTTTTTGCTTTTGATGTCGAAATAAATGAGTTTTTTAAACAAAAAAACCGCAGGAACTAAGTTTACCACCTAATATATAGTGAATGATACAAGAACCACACAATCATAAATCTCGCAAAGTATCATCGTCCAAGAAACATTAAATAAACAAACAAGAGAAATATTTGTTGAAAAAATAAAGATCAACTCTCTTGCCTTAATTATTTTATTAATTAAATATATTAATTAATTATATTAATTAATTCCGCTTAATTATTTTCAGATTCGCCCGTGAAAATCCTACTATGTATAAGGTGAGCCAACTAATAACTATTGACACCTTAAAGATCTTCGAAGCTACTTTTACTAAGAAAGAAAAGCCTAACCATCATAAGAAGTTTTTCTCTTTTAAATAGCTTCGAGAATCTGTGTATGAAAATCATTTATTTTTTGCCTCAAAGATATTCAACGTTGCGATTGACTCACCACATATAAGATAAAACATCCAAGTAGCCGGTGTATTGAGGAAAGTGTTTGGTAATAGTAATTATAGTTTAGTATTTGTATTATTATTATGACATAATGAAAGTAAACGTTATAATTCGGAGTACCATTTTTGTAGTAAGCGTCACTATAGCGTTAGCGAAAATGTATTACTCGTATATTGCTGTTATTACTGGAAAAGGGAAAGATTATTTAGAAGAATGAAATCTAAGAAGATTAAAGCCAAATGTTAAAGCGTCTTTCAAATATTGAGGAATAAAAATTAATAATTATAAATAAAGTAGTAAATAATAAAATAAAGTAAAATAAATATAATAAAATTAATAATAAGGAGCTATGAATTTATATAATATGATATAAATATAATATTTAATATATATCATATTTATATAATATGATATATATTAAATATAATAAAATTAATAATAAGGAGCTATGAATTTATATAATTTATGTAATAAAGATAATGTGTTGTTTTCTCAAACAAAATTAATAGGACAATATAAGAAAGCAGCTTAGCTGAAGTCTTTTTTTGGAGATTTAAAAATCAGAGCAATAACACGGAGAAAACTCCAATGATATCACTAGCCTTAATATGGTTGTCATAACAAAATATTATTGTTAGTTTTCGTCCATACAGGATGGTGTAGCGACTATAATACTCTACAAGTGATGCACTAATCTTCTTTACTGCCCACCCATATATATTCGAGCGGTACTCTCAGTACTATACGGTGCAACTAAACTCTATGGATGTCTCAACCATAGTACTTGTTCTGCAGACCACAATGGAGAGACAGCAATATTCCTTTAGAGATAACTATGTATACGAGAATGTACTAACTGAACATTATATATTATAAAAACTATGACTGTGAGAACTGTATAGATGGGCTTGTAATAGTAACAACTTTTAACGCTACGTCTATTTTATTTGAAATCGCATAAATTTTCTCTCTATTTTCCATAGAATATAGCAACCATAGTAATTTTCTCCGTGAAGATGTATGATCAAGATGTTGTATCTTGATCTCTAATTTGCCGTCGACGGCACAACGTCTCGCGGACGGGCCGCTAAAGTCCGACAAAAATTGCAGCTACTAATTTTTGTTAGAAACACAGGAGAATACAGTCGAAAATAACAACGATTTTTGGAGAGATCAACCATTTTGTCTCTCAGTGCACTGTGCTTGTTTCGGGACTGTTGCGCGGATTTGATCAAATATTAAGATGCAAGAAGATTTAAAAATAAATTAGTAATACATAATAATTAATAAATATTTGAGAAATAATTAATAAATCCTACACACCTCAATATTGGATAAAATCCAAGCAAGAGTGCCGAAGTCTGGCGAGCGTCGTGACAAGTCTCTCTTTTCTCCTTATATATTTTAAAAAAATATATATATATTATTTTGTACCGTGTGAGAAAAACAGCACAAGAGATGTGTGCGAAAACCGCGGCCGCGGGACGGGACATCGCGTTAGGGGGAACAAAAAAGGAAAGCGCGCGATCGCATAAACGTTCGCGTTTATTCGCGCGCGAACCGCCCGGGCACGATTGCGATTGTATCAAAGTCATCTAATAACAGACGGGCAATTGAATCTCCAGATCGTGTCTGCGCGATATTGCCAAGCTGAGCATGATGGTATTATCTGCACCGATGATATTTGCACGCACTTGTTGCATGCGTGCGTTTTGCCTTGTGGCGGAGCATGTACATAATATGCTAGTGCTTTCACTGCACTTCATATGCACTCCATGTCCCATACGAGCCTACCTATAACAAGATATTCGATAAACCCGTGTGTGCCCGCGCGCGCACGTGGACCACCGCCGCCGCCGCCACCGTCGCCGCCGCTCCCGCCGCCGTCGCGTTTATACGCGCGCTGGCGCCATATGCGGAAGTTTCGGTTTTAAATGTTCATCGGGACCGTGTTTCCGCGTCGCGTCCGCGCTTGTTTATTAACTGCACGTGGAGTATCGCGCCCACGACGGAATAACGAGAGTTAGCGAGGCTCGAAAATAGAAAAAAAAAAATGAAATATTAGGCTGTTCAATAAGCTCGTTGGGGACTTTCGCGGGAAAATCAAGAGAGAGAGGCCGGTATTTTTACAATTAGAACTTCATTCAATAATGTGTGGTTTTTTTTCGATAGCAGAAGGCCGGCGAAAAGAAACGGGAAAGATAAAGTAGTCTGGTAAATTATAAATAAGTTCTCCTAACTACAAGAGTATCGGCTTGAAATTTTTCGTGAAAATCCCTACGATCTCTTATCGAACAATGCAAGACGGAAAGGAAGTTTGGGTGAATGAGGATTTAGTTTGGATAGCGAAAGAAATAGGAGGTTTCCATTTCGTACAAAGAAATGAACAAAAATATCAATATAGGGGATTTTTGTTACAAATGTATAGTCTAACTAGCGGACAACATTGCTCGTGTAATAATCTGATACAAATGAGACAAAATTAAAAGATTGCATTAAATATGCTGGAGGAGGAACCTTTGTCACATATGCAAAAAGTCGAAATTTAAATTAAATTACAGCATTTTTCGAAGTTACTAGTCATTTCTCTCTTTTTTGTTTCTACTTAGTGTCCTGAGAAAAATACTAATCTTACATATTTTCCAAAAGGTTTGGGTTCATTCTCCAGAAAATTTAATACAGTTTTTCTCGTCGCATTTGTTACAGATTATTGCACGAGTTGTAATATTGTAATATTGTACCTCACTCGGCACAAAAAAATCTGGATAATCTGAAATTTCAATTATTTTTTTAATAAAAGAATAATTTTCTTATACTTAAAGTAACGGTAAATAATAATGATCCAAATTCTATATTGATATCTTAATCCATTCTTTTAAAAAATTACCAAAAACTTTCTATTTCTCGACTACTTAAAGTAGAACTTCCTTTTAACCTTATAATGAACGGACCAAACGCGTTCAGGTTGAAAGAAACAGAGTCTCTGTTTCTTAGTTCGGTTCTATTCATTCAGTTGAATAGAATTGATTTTTTCTTCGTGAATAAAGTATACGACTGACCGATTCCGCGAGATATCGTATTTCGCGTGGTTACAATATCACGTACGGGGAGCAACCGTTTACAGATTTCTCTTTCTTTCCCTGTTTCTTAACCGACTTCTTCTCTTTTTACCTGTCAGGTATGGGCCTCTGTAGAACAGTTGCTGCAGCGTGTGATGGGCGTTCGGCGGCAAGTGTCGCTGAGGTGGCTGATGACTTGGCCTGTGATAAGGGTGATAAGCCGCCGGTCGCGCGATCGGCTTGGCGATATTGTAGCCCGCCGAGTTCTGCAGGTTTTGCAGAAAGGCGGGTATCGCTTCCGGCGGGAGTCCTTGGAAGTTGTCTGCGCAGATAAAACACACATTACACGTCGAGACGCGATCGAGGAAGTTACTTTTGCTTCGTCGTGTTCGTATTTCCGTCCAATGTCGTCGCAAATATTTCACGATGCGTTCTACTGGCGAGCAGATGAGACGGAATTTCGTTTGTCCATAGACAAATCCAAAAATAAGTGTAATTCGAAGTGTACTAACAGCCGTTTGATTAACACTAATCCACTTGGAATTATACTTGTAATAGTGATTCACCTGAGAAATTCAATAACTGATACACATTGCTAATCGAGAGATTAATCCTTAGAAAAGATTAAATGCAGGTAGAGAATATTCTTAGTATAATACAAAAATAAGCGATTATATTAAATAATTGTTAACCAGTTAGCTGTATTGTCTTCTTTTAAAAGTGTGTACCTAAATTGTGTTGCATGATGAGTATATTCGTCACAACGCTAAAAATTGCTATTTCTTCATGACAAGTATACTCGTCGTACACAGCTAATTGGTTAAAAACAAATCTTTCTTCCGGCTTCAACATGAAAACTCAATATTGGCTATTAAAATGATAGGATGTTTAATAATTTTTAAATAGGGGTCCCTCTTTCATTCGAAAGTTTCCTACTGCTTCAAATCCGAGTTTCAAATTTCTTCAAATTTGTAGTTAATCAAGATTTCGACTAGGGATTATACTCATAATAATGATTCAACTGAGAAATTCAGTAATTGAAGCTCAAATTGAAGCGACTCACTGTGGCTTACCGATCCCTAATTATCTTTGACACTTCAGCTCATGTGTTTCGCTTCAAAGCGCAAGAGAAGTGCGTCAGCGCGATGTATGTCGCGTGTTCACGGGATCGAGAAGCGCGAGACTATCCTCTTTTCCCTCGTCGTTGGGCCTCGTCAAGTATTCATACTAATTCATGCGAGGATCGGACAACGTTTTATGGAAGTTTTGAGTCAGCGCGCCACACGAAAAACGCGCAAACCGGCCACGCCGATTAAATATGGAACACGCCGGGGTTGTTTCACGGCAAAATGTGCCCCCGGGGCGGCGGGATTTACGTGCGAGCGAATATCTAAGTCGTCGTCGTCGTCGTATTCCTCGTGTTGCATAATTCGAGCCGACACCCCCGACCGAGAGAGAGACCCTCCTTAACTGCTCCAGGCGGAGCCCGATCTCTTGTTGGCGCACGCTTCAACACCTCCACCGGGAAGGTAAATAGCCAGACATTCGTGCGACCGACTGCCTCACGACCTGAGAAGCGAGGGTGGGACACCTTAGCTCGCGTATACGCGTCGTAAAGTATCGCCAAACGCGATCGCGCGAACGTATCATGAGCAGTTTGTAGCGCGCAATCCCGCCTTAAGTCGGGACGAAAAATTGTGTTCTTTTAGACCCTTCGAGCGTTCGAAATTCCCTGTAAACGCTGCAAGAAGGGTAATGCTTAATTTCACTAAAGTTATGGTCACTTACAGTGCCAACCAACTCGTTGTTCTAACAAAAAAGTAGCATACTAAAGAGAAAAAGTATCTGGAAAACAAGAAATATTTATTTGGTGGGTAATAATGTATAAACTTATATATTTTTTATTAATAACATCTTTAGTTAAGTCTCTAAATTCTTCTGCTTACATAGAATAAACAGTTGCTCTTATGAAAAGCACGATGTGTTTTGGGAAAATATATACACTGAGAAAAAATATCTAAAAGTTAACAAATATTTATTAAGTGGATACCATTAACATATTTACTTAAATCAAAATTCTTTTCATTTAAACTGAATATTGTTTATTCGGTTTAAAGATAATTTTCATTTAAATAAAAATATGTTAATATCCACCTAATAAATATTGGTTAATTTTTAAATATTTTTTTCTCAGTGTACGTTTTCTAATTTGAAAAACATTTTTTCTCAATGTAAAAATATTAGTGCAAGTAAATGTGTCATTAGTATCTATCGAATAAATATTTCTTACTTTTTAGATTTTGTTTTGGTGTAGCAGCAATATGCATACAAGCCTATTATTGTGTAACACTTACTACAAAAATGATTCTTTATAATTCTTCCAGCATGCGATTATAGTCACAAGTACCAAACAGTTTTTTCTTAGTGGCTACCGGCGTTTTCAAGGACTTTCATTTGCACGTTCACTTTAGCAACAGTTAGTAACAGTTTCAGTTGCAAGCTTCATTATTTCAAGTTTAAAAGGCTCATTTATTTCTATTTCACCCGCTTTCATCAGTCACAAACGAAACGTTCGACAATCTTGCTGAACACAAAGCGCTTCATCGTTACACTGTTTCGCACTTAAAGGACTAACGAGAATGGCAAAGAATAGTGGTAGAGGAGGAGGAGAAGTTTCTCTCACAAAATGTCACATTAACGTTTACGTATCCCGACAAGCAATTTATCCTATGAATCCTAATTATATAACGTAACCTGGCAAGCAGGACCTTATTAATTCTTACAATCCGAAAAGCCACTATAGTAGCGCGGCGTAGATGTCATATTTTTTATCAATTTATCCTTTGACGTGTACGAAAAACGAGAAATTCTGCTTCAAAAACTGTAAAAAAGTTAGCTTAAAAAAATGAACTGTAAGATTTAATAATAGGGATTATTATTAATAATTAAAAGCTTCTTAACCTTTCGCGTACAATGTTGAATCAGTGAGAATATTTGATCATCCACTAACTTTCGTAAAAGGACCAAGAAAATTTCAAAATGGCTCAAATTTGCAGATTTTGCAGATGTTGATTTTATTGCGCTTCTTATAACCAAGATTTTTCTATGTCCCTGAAAGAAAAACGTATTAAAAAATATTGATTTTCAACAAAATTATGGTGGTTTAAAGTTGCCCGATAGATCTAGGTTATACTGTATATAAAAAATATAACGGACAGGAAGGTTTAATGATATATGCGAAAAAGTTCTAGTTCAGAAATTGTAAAGGTGATCCAAAGACCGTCCGGACTGTAAAAATTAATAATAAGGATTGTCAACGATTAAAAACTTATGAACCCCCGCGTACAATATTGAGTCGGCGAGAGATCCGAATATTTGATCATCCACTAACTCTCTTAAAGAATGTAAAAGGATTTCAAAGTAAAGCAAATCTATTTGCAGATTTTGATTGTTGTGCTACTATCTTATAACTGAAGTTTTTCTATGTCTTCGAAAAAAATATATTCAAGAATATTGATTTTCAATAAAATTATGGTAGCTAAAAGTTGCTCGACTCTAAACAAATCCACATTACAGTGTATACTAAAAATATATTGGACGCGAAAGATTAATAATTAACACCCGATAACATCGCCTTGCTCAAGCCAGATAACGGATCAATTAGGAGGATATTAAAAAACATTTCTAGTTCGGGTACGTGTCGATCATGATAGAAAACTAAATGTCTATACTGAGAGAGACTTTATACGATAAAAAATTAACAAACACATATTTCCAATCAAAATACCGATGAATTTTTGTATCTGATCAGGAAACGTCCGATGAAAAATATCGGTTCATAATTTTTTTATTAGTTTATCTGATGAAATGTCATTATGATTAGAAGTGTTCGATTGAATTTAATCGAATATTCTGATCAGATATAAAAATTCATCGATATCGATCGGAAATATCCGTTTGTTAATTTTTTATCGATTAATTTCTCTTAATGCACTGCGCATTCTCTTAATGTATTTTCTACGCGTTTTAAGATTCGCGTTAAAGAATTCTCGACATTCAGAGTCGACACCTTGGCGACGACTGAACTCGAGTCTGATCGCCAATGATCCTCGTGACTTCTCGATCTACCAACGTCGAGATGCATCGGTCGAATTAACGACTCTCGCTAAGGTAAAGTTCGCTCGAAACTGAACCACCGAGTGGTTTAATAAGACCGGCCGGTGAATGGCGTCCGCATCAGGAGATTCCTCATCGTCTCACGACGGCACTTTGTGCCCCCTCAACCCCCTCCCCGGCTACCGATACAGCCCCCTGGTAGAAAGATTTATCGACAACGCGGAAGGATGTTAACTGCGTGCGCTGACGCGTACCCTCCGCGTCGCGTACAGCTTAGTAGCATGAAAGAAAATTCGGACTCTCTGGCTCTATGACCTCGACGAGAGGTCACCCTCCGCTGGCGAACTCGTCCACCCATCCACATTAATAACGCCTAAGAGGGCCGGTCGCCCCGCTGCGATTTCCAACATGTTTTTTTTGCAGTCGCGCACCGCCACGCCCAGAGAGAGAGAGAGAGAGAGAGAGAGAGCGCAACCCCGCTAAAAAAGTGACGTGTTTGAAAATAATAAAATAATGGAGGCTCGAGGCCGGTTCGAGAATGGAGGAGAGAAAGGGACAGAGAGAAAGAGAGAGAGTGAGAGAGAGAGAGAGAGAGAGAGAGAGAGAGAGGAAGAACACAAGAAAGACAGAGGGAAAAAGGAAGATGGATAGAAAGAGAGAAACAGAGAACAAGAGAGAGAGAATACTCGCCTTGCGTTCGACCAGACAATGCCCTGACAATGGCCCATACACGGCGTCCCATTGTGCCGTACTGTACCCCATAAAATACTCATCGCCTTTTATCGTTGTTTTCGTAGCCGGCCAATGAGAGAAGCGCGCTGCTTAGCCGCGGCCGGCTAATAACGGGCTTAAATCTCCAACGGAAACACTGAATGGGAATAGTTTTTTAAGCTGCCCCACCTACCCGGCACAGTCAGCCCCTTCGATCTTTCTCTCTCTCTCTCCCTCTTTCTCTGTCTATCCTCCTCCCAACCTTTTCCAGCCCATGTCTATCTGTGCCCCTTAGAACGCGCTACCCTTCCTCTCGCGTCACGTGAGATTAAACTCTCCTGTCTGCGGTATCCAGAAAGTCCGGGACCGCTCGCGTGTTGTTACAGTTGTTGCGGGGCCCCTACAGCCGCCCGTTCTTCCTTTTTTTTTTGTATGTGCATCGAGCTTAAGCATGCCCCTCTCGGCGCAGCGCTTACAACATATATCGCTGGTTAT